TTTTATGCCTTGTTATCATATTATATATATATATATATATATATATATATATTTTTTTTTTTTTCTTTTTTTCGCCGAGATTTTATGCACGTTGTATAATATGAAATTTTTGTATAGTGTGTACGCGGGTAAATCTCGTACTGCAAAAAGAAATTGCACGTAAATTGCTTCTTCAACTTATACTCCTAATTCGATCATAGTAAAAGACGACTAGAGAATTTGTTTAAACATATACATTTTAACTTAACTGCGAAAAAAAATTAAAAACAAAAGTAAAAAAAAAAAATGATTCGTAAATATTGCAAACGCAATGCATTATAAACTCCATGCAGAAAAAAAAAATATGATAAAATTAGATATGATATGGATTAACGAAACAATACAATGCATGGTGCATTTTCGCATTCATTGTTCAATCATACATGAAATATGTCGCTTTTGGCATGCAGCCTAATTAACTAAAACATAAACAAAACTCATTAGATTATAATAGATACATCGAAGGCTATTTAATATTGTGAATAATGGGCAGAAATTCGATTTACACGCGCGAACAAAAAAATCTTTTGTATTTCATAATCGCGATTGATATCATCTAGAGAAATTGCCAACAAAGCCAAGCATTTTTTTTTTTCCTATTATTATAATTTTTGCGTTGACAGTCGTCCGACGATGTAAAAAGAAAGCAAGGAAATCGAGAAAGAAACAGACATACTGTTTCTCGAAGATTGATATTTGTATAAGTACCTTCTAGTACAAGTTGCTATTAATTAAACTACGTCGTAGCTTTCTAAGGCCGGTCTTGGATCTCGGCACAATTTTCAAACAATGACAAAACGAGGAAGCGCAATAGTGTTTGTTGGTTATCTAAACAAAAATAAAAAAAAAAATCAGATGCACGTGCACAATCATGTGCGCGGTATACTGCAGTCCAAGGATAGTTTATAAAATAAAAAGAAAAAAAAAATAAAGAGAAAAAAATGTCGTAAAGGAGAAATCGTAGAAAAAAATTAGAGAACACGGTAGACACAACTGACAGCTTTGCTCCAATTAGAATTTAACGACAATGACAAAATGAAAAAAAAAAAATGAAAAATTAAAAAAAAGCAACACAATGGAAAAAGTTTAAGTGACGTTACCGCGTCCATTTAATGACCATCCGATCCATTTGAAACGAAAATATGAAAAAAACAGTACACGCGAGAATTAAAATATGACCACCAACATCAAAGTGTATCACATTTCGAGAAATATATGTATTTGTTATTGTTTTCATTGAATTATATTGTTATACCTGATCCTGCATATTCCAGGATTAATTTTACTCCATTTTACATATATCCATTTTACATATATCAATTTTAGATTTTCAGGATATTCGTTTATTGAAATTTGTCCAATATTAACATTAGAATAATTTCAAGAAATATTATCCTTGCAATTATTTTCATCGAGCTAAAAGTTTTTAAGTCTTCAAAAATCATATTTATTAAAATAATATTCTAGAGACTAATATTTATTAAATAAGAACAGTATATTCACAATTATAATATATTATATTATATATGTGTATTATATATTATATATATAATATATTATAACATAATTAATAATAAATAATAATAATTAAAGAAAAACTTAAAAATAAAATAATAATATTAATAAAAATATAAAGAACATAAATAATTAGTATTATAAAATATGTATTCTAAAACCTCTTTGTAATACCATAAACAAGACTAAGAAGAAAATATATTATAAAAGCTAATACAGTAATATACAAAGTTAATATTATAATACAGTAAAGACAAATCGAAATATAACTGAAGAATTTAATTTCAAAATTAAAAAAAATCTAAATCTAAAAATCTAAAATATCAAAAAAGCAAGTTTTTGTTTTGTTTAAATGTTTTTCTTGATTTAGATAATATTTCTGTTAAATCCTTGCTTTTTTATTTCAATTCTTTTAGACTTTTATAAACTTTGAGGCTAAATTGAGATTAAATCCTCTCCAATGTTTCAATTTTTTTTACTTTATGATAATTAACTTTTATATTATATTCTCTTTGTTTTTTATTCATTATTTTTGCATTACAATGTTAAATTC